AAATACACAAAACAAGCCGCAGTTCCTTCGTGCGGTTTGAACTTTGACCTCAGCAGTCTCCAAAGCAAGATGACGATGACAAAGGCGAAACAAAAAAAGAAAAAGAAAAAATAATGTATATTTTTAAGTATTTGTCCTTGAGATGTTAGCTCCTTGTTAAACACAAAAAGGAGAGAAAAATCCAGACAGAAGTGTTGCTGGGACGGAGACAACTATTTACTATGTCTGTGACCCCTCCTCTCTGCCTCCCCCTTCCTCTCCCCTCCTCTTTCCTCTGTCCCTGCTGCCCCTCCCCCATCCTGTCCTCCAAGCCCAGGGGCTCAGTATTTATTTATTTATATAATTGCAGGGTGACTGGGGGCCTCTCTCAACAACTGTAGAGAAGGCCTTTGGATCATGGTGGGTAGGGAAGGGGCAAGGAGTCTTTGGGGGAAAGTAGGGGCCTGATCTTTGATCAACTCCTCTCGGCTGGCTCCTTCCAGGCTTCTTATCCCACTGCTGCCACCACTACCTCCCAAATCCAAGGCTGCACTAGGGCAAGGTGATCCCCCACCATGTAAAGATCTGGTTGGCTCAGCCCTAGCTGGGTGGGTGTCTTTCACCTACTCATTTGAATGACTGGGTGGAATGGGGATGGGAGGAGGTGGCAACGAGTGGGCATAGGAAACCAAGAAGTGGCTTCTGGAAATTGACTAGGCCCTGGAGACCTTCTCCATTCTCACCAAGTTAGCCCCCCCCTTTCAGTTCTGTCTGACCCCTGTGTTGGTAGCCCTTCCCTTCCCATCCTGCACCCCCTTCCTGTCTCTTCTCGTGGTAGCGGGTTAGCGTTTCAGTGTTCTTCAATCTGCTTGTTCATTGTACAATGTGCTTCTTTTAAGGCCCCATTTTTGTAACTTGAGTGTGTCATTCATCTGAACAACATCAAAAAATAAAAAATTAAAAACTGTACAGAGAGAAATGCTGCCGGCTCTCCCTTGGTCTCCTCTCTGTCCTGGGAAGGTTGGTGGGAGAAATCAGGGTATGGGGTGGGTATGTGTGCGCTGGGGAGGGGCAGGCTTTACTTCTGTTAGGTAAACATTCACTCAGAAAGAAGGTCTGGTGTGGCTGTTGGTTGGATCGCTGTCCTGCAAAAGGTGGAAAGGTGGTGGGTTAAATTCCCAGTCAAGGTCAGAGCACATACCCAGGTTGTAGGTTCAATCCCCAGTCAGGGCCCTTACTGGAGGCAACCTGTCCATGATGACATCAATTTTTTTTTTCTCTCTCTCTCCCTTCCTCTAAATATCAATGAAAAGCATATCCTCGGGTGAGAATTTTTTAAAAAGTGGGGTTTTTTTTGTGTGTGTGTTTTTTTGCCAATCAGAAAACAAAGGTTTGAAACTTAGGATGAATTCAAATTCCTGAATTCAAATCTCAGTTCTGCCATTTTATAGATATGTGATCTTTGATATGTAACCTTCAATGTCCTCATCTGTAACAGGGACAATACCTATTCTGGGGTTGGTAAGAATTAAATGATGCAGATTTCAAGCACATTGTCTTTAATAAATGAGAACCACAAAAAAATAGGAAACCAGTATTTCCCCACTTCCATCCCCAGAGGACTAACAAAATCCTTTAAAAACTGAGTTGGGCCCTAGCTGGTTTGGCTGAGTGGATAGAGCGTCGGCCTGCTGACTGAAGGGTCCCAGGTTTGATTCCAGTCAAGGGCATGTACCTTGGTTGCAGGTTCCCCGACCCTGGTCAGGGTGCGTGCAGGAGGCAACCAATTGATGTGTCTCTCTCACATCGATGTTTCTCTCTCTTCCTCTCCCTTCCACTCTCTCTAAAAAATCAATGGAAAAATATCCTCAGGTGAGGATTAACAAAAAAACAATAAAAAAAAACCTGAGTTGGCCCAGCTGGTGTGGCTCAGTGGTTGAGCATTAACCTCAGGAAGTTGAGGTTCAATTCCCAGTGAGGGCACATGCCCGGGTTGCATGCTCAATCACACATGGAGCAGCCAATCAATGATTCTCTCTCATCATTGATGTTTCTATCTCCCTCTCTTCCTCTCTGAAATCAGTAAAAATATTAAAAATATACATTTAAAACAAAAAATGAGTTGACTTGAAGTTGGTGAAACAAAGTACATACCCTTTTTTATTTTTTCAGCACAACGTACACTCAAATTTTTGTGCCCATACTAAATCATTTTAAAGTAACAACAGCTTTCAGGGTAGGCCAGGGACTGATCACTAAGACTTCACCACTGAAAACCAGGAACGGTATCACAACTGGGTTTTCTCACTGCCATCAGGTCTCCTTGTCACTGTTTCATCCTCTGATGTATGGCACTCAGGTGTTGGGATTCTGCAAATTCAATAGTGAGGGATGGGGAAGAGGAGAAAGGAAGAGTGGGAGGGTTTTGATCACTCAGATAGATTTAAAAAGTATCAGCACTGCATTGTTTTGGCAAGATTGAGAGACAAGTCAGTAGGGATAGGGGAATGGGATGTTGGAATGAAGATTCAGAATACTCTGAGGATGCCTGCAAGGTGGTATGGTCAGAACCATACAGACCCAAAAGTTCCTTGTCACTCAGGTCATCAATCCTGTGACAAGCAGACACCACACCTGAGAGCACTCTGGAGCTGAACTAGCAACTACCTGTAGCCCTGTGAATGTGCTTAATCACTCCACATGCCCTCTCCTGTACAGTCATACTTGGGCCTTCTCTTGTCGAGAACACATTGGGCACTAGAGGACCACTATTCTGTCCCCTTAACAGTTCTGCTTATGTAGCTTCCATATCCAATTATAAATTGGCAATACAAAGCTATTAGAGGGGTCTGCAAGTCACCTGCATCAGAACTGTTGTGTTCAGAACGTGGATTCCAAGGTCACACACATACATGCTTGCTGGATCCAAAGCTCTGGGGGAACTGCCTAACACACAAAGTTTGGGAACCTTTGGCTGTCCAACTCAATCCCCAGCATCCAACAAGGGTTTGATTAGTGCCACCTTTTCTGACAGTGGTTGAGAACTGTGGAAATTTCAGCAGGGTGATGGTAAATGATGAGTCTTGTTCATAAATCTGTTTGCACACATAACTTTTTCTCAGGGTGGGAGTCCAGAATTTCCTAAAAAGGAACCACGATAGAGGCAGGGTGGTCATCCACTGTCACAGAGCCTCCTTTCTCTGCTGAAAACATCTTTATCTTAGGGTCAACCACACCTTTGAGTTTTTCAGCCTGATGTTTAGCTGGTTTTGCAAGCACAAATCCTGATTGTTCTCAGTACTGATTTGATATGACTGTCAGGATAGGATGTTACAGGTTTTTGTGAGAAGAGGCAGTTTAAGGACAAATCTTTACCTGGTGATTAAGGCAGGGGGGCATGCTGGGCTGACTTGGCTGGAATCCTTTCTGCAGGGTATAAAGTTACTGAAAGAGGTGCCTAGGATTAACACTCTGTGAAAACTGCTTCACAGATCACTTGCTCTTCATTAGGAGCTGTCAAGATACCAAATGGGTGAATGATTTTTCTTTTTTAAAATGATTACAATAAGCATAATGTAGCAAAACCTATTAATGGTGTTAGACCTGGTTTCTAGCCTGGCCCCACCACTTGTGTGGCCTTGGTCTCTTCCATCTCTTCCCTCTCTGAGCCCTCATTTTCTCACCAGAGCCACAGGCTAACCCAGTCCGTCTTAAAGCCCCAGTGCCTAGAGGGGAACAGGACTGCTGAAGGGAGTCCAGAGTAATGTGGAAGCCCAAGTGGTCATCAGAGACTGAGTGGGCAGCTCTTAGGCCTCCCTTTTCCCTGGTTTCAGTACAAATAGCTTCCCTCTTATTTCTCGTTTTTTAGTGTTCCAAATAAGAATTCTAATAAAAACACTGGAGTAATCTTTGAAGGGGGAGGGGGGGGCAGGGAGGCACTTGTTTTCCTTGGGATGTGCCTCTTAAAAACAAGACTGCATTGTGACTGAGCATTCCCACTGGCCACACACTCACCATCTCCTTTGCCCACCCCCACCCCCCAAGTATGTAAAAGGCAGCAGAGTATAAAGCATATGGTGATTTAACCAAATGAAATTAAACTTAAATTCAAGTTCTGCCCTTGATCATTTATCTGGGTTAAATGATCTTGGGCAAGTCACCTCCCTTGCCCAAGGATTCCTTCCCTGCATAATGTTTTCCTCACAGGATCAGTCTGAAAATTATTCCAAACAGCCCTGGCCGGTGTAGCTCAGCCGGTTGGAGCATCATCCCGTACACCAAAAGGTTGTGGATTTGATCCCTGGTGGGGCGCATACGGGAGGCAACCGATGTTTCTCTCTCTCTGAAATCAGTAAAAACATATCCTTGTGTGAGGATTAAAAAAAAAATTATTCCAAAAAATGTAGGGTAGTACTTGAGACAAACTAGATTTCAAACATCAGTCAGCCACATCACCCATCCCTCTTCCAACAAACACCTATTAGCTGAGTCAGACTCCAACTTCAGGTGGGTATCAAGTCACCTCTTCTGAAGCTTCCTCCCCCAGCCAACCCTTAGAATCTTCAAGTCCACAGCTGGGTCTGGTCCTAGGAGCCACCCTCCCCTACTGCCGGGAATATCATGCCTTTTCCAGACTTGCATATGCCCATAGGGATCCAGTGAGAAAATAGATGGCCCCGGGGAAGCCAACTCACATCAGGCCAGGAAGTGGGAAACAGCAGTGGTGAGAATCTGATTTCCCCAAATATTCCTACCATCAGTAAAAACAGCTTCAGGCTGTTCTACGAAACTGTGGGGACCTCTAGTGGCAAGAGCACCATGCTGCCTCCATCTAGAACCAGAGTGAAGTCCCTACTCCCCAGATGCCATACCATAACCTTGGAATTCAGGTCCTCTTCAATTTAGCAAATATTTACTGAGCTCCTACTACTAGCCAGGCCATTCTAGATGCTGGGAACACAGCCATGAAAAGTATCTGGGCTCATGGTTCCCAAATTCCACCCCGAACAGCCAAAAGCACATGAATGTCCAAATCAGTTTTTAATGACTATTTCACTTTGGGGCCACCAGTGCTAACAAGTGGAAGGGTGAGGGGCACTTTTATGCATATTAGGGACCCCAGAACACTCCTCATAAGAGAATAAATCCAGTTACAGAATTTACATAGCAGTTGGGAAGGGTGAAGGGGCACTGTACAGAAATTTAAGGGGATGTTGGAGGGGGTTCTTCAGCAACAGGGCATGGTGCTTCTGAAGAGGGAAGCTGGCAGGGTCAGCCACTGATCTGGACTCCCTCAGCCTCAGCCAGAGGGTAGATCTCAATGGCTTCCACCAAAGGCAGCGCCTCCACTGCAGTCTCCATCACTGCCAGGCCAACAGCAGCCTCTGCCTCTGCTAGCTGCTGCCGCACAGCTGCCTGATGCTGCTGCTGGTGGGTCTTGCGGTGTTTCCATAGGTTGGAGAAGGAACGGTAGCTCTTGCCACAGTCGGGGCAGGAATAGGGCCTTTCACCCGTGTGAATGCGGCGATGTTCTGCCAGGCGCATGGAGATGGCAAAGGCCTTGCCACACACTTCACAGGCAAAGGGCCGCTCACCTGTGTGCAGGCGCCGGTGGTCCTTCAGATGGGTACTCTGACGGAAGGCCTTGCCACAGTCTGGACATGGGTATGGCCGCTCACCTGTGTGTATGCGCCGGTGCACCTGCAGTGATGTCTCTGTGCTAAACAGCTTTTTGCATTCGCTGCACTCTAAGCCCCGGCGTCGGGCAGGGGCCGCAGGGGCCGCAGCAGCAGTGCCTGCAAGGGTCGTTGGGGGGGCAACTGGTGTGCGAGTTGCCCGTGGGGCCCTGGGGGCTGGGGGCTCCTTAGCCAGGACCTCTCCAGGCCCAGCAGCTGCGTGGGCCGCCTCATGTGCTTGTAGCCGAGCAGCTGAGCCCACTTTCTTGCCACAGGTGCCACACTCAAAGCGCCGTGGGCCCTGGGCAGCAGCAGCTGCACAGCGATGCTCACGGAGCCGCAGTGAGGAAGGGAAGGCAGCCCCACAGGATGAGCAGCGGTGGGGCTGGCGCCCAGCATGGGCCACAAGCTGGTGCACCTCCAGCAGCCGGCGCAGCAGGAAGGAGCGGGGGCACTCGCGACACTTGTAGGGGTACTCGCCAGTGTGGTGGTAGCGGTGCATGAGCAAGCGGTAGGGGCGGTGAAAACGCACTCCACACTCTTGGCAGCGGTAGGGGAAGTGTTGGGCATGCACCAGGCGATGCTGCCTCAATGTAGAGCTTTGGGTGAAAGCTTTGCCACAGTCCCCACACCGGTAGGGCCGCTCCCCTGTGTGCGTGAGCCGGTGGCGGGCCAGGTTGGCAGGCGAGTTGAAAGGTTTAGAGCAGTCTGGGCAGGGGAAGGGCCGTTCGCCCGTGTGTGTGCGCAGGTGGTTGCGCACATGAGACTTCTTCTTGAACATCTTGCCGCAAATGCCACACTTGTGGCGCCGTTCTAGCCTGTGCACAAAACGTTGGTGCCGGGTGAGCTGCAACGCCTTGCCAAATTCACGGCTGCACAGGAGGCAACGGTAGGTACCTGGGGCAGCAGGTTCTGCTGAGCTCTCCTCAGACACTGGGGGCTCCGGAGCCTCTGGCTCTCCAGTCTCTGCTGAAGCTGGCTCAGGGAAACCAATGACAGGCTCCTCTGGTAGGACTGGTGTTGTGGGTAGAGGAACACCTCCCACCCCATGGGTACGCCGGTGATAAAGGAACTTGGTGAGGTTGACAAAGTTCTTTCCACATGGACATGAATGCAGAGGATTTGGGGTGTGAGCTCGCCGGTGGGCCAGAAGGAGCGCCTCTGTGCCAAAGGCCAGGCCACAGTCCACACACAGGAAGTGAGACTCGCTACTGTGATCTCCAAGGTGCTGGTCTAGACTGGAAGGGCTGGGAAAGACACGACTGCACAGGGGGCACTTAAAGACACCTTCCCGGTGACTCCGCAGGTGCTGCTGTAGCTGATGAGGTGAAAGAAAGAGCTGATCACAGGCTGAGCAAAAGAGCTCCTGGGTGGCTGGCCCACCTGGCTCTCCACTGTTGTTCCTCCGGGCCTTGCGCCCCCGCCGATCACGCCCAATGGCTTCACCGTTGCGCAGTTCGTAACTGTGGTCAGAGGATGGCAGGGGATCAGGCTGAGTCACAGCCACCTCTGCAGGTGATGGGGCCAGGGTCTCCTGCTGCAAGGCAGGCTCCTCAGACTCTGGGGCAGGAACAGGGAAGTGGGTGGCTTGGTGCTCCAGAAAGTCAGCTGGCGACTGGAAGAGCTGGGAGCACTCAGAGCACTTGTAGAGGAGCAGTTCCACCTCAGTCACCACCTCAGTAGTGGTGGCAGCAGCAGAAGGGACAGCTGCCCCTTCCCCACCCTCTTCTGCTTTACGGTATGAGTGTTCCACAGCCACACGGGCCTGGCCCATGGGGGATCCTAGGACAACTGGGGCTGGAGGCTTGGTGGGAGTGGCCCGGAGGTGCGTCTGCCGGTGGTTCAGCCAGAGCTCCTGGCTGGCGAAGAGAGCCTTGCAATCAACACACTCATAGTGGATGGTACTGGAGCTCAGGGGGGGCACCTTGGGTGGCGATTCAGTTGGCACTACCTCCTGAGGTGCCATCATTTTTAGGTGCAACTCCTGGTGCTCCAGGAGCTGGCTAGGGGACATCAGCAGTTGCCCACATTCCAGGCACTGGTACTGGCTCTCCTGCACCACAGTCTGATAGAGGCCTGTGCCAGAAGCTGCCTCTGTGGCCACAGTGACTCCAGGGTCAGCCACACCCACCAACTCAAAGTGCTGCTGGGGCACATGGGAATTCTGGTGCATGAGCACCTCCTCCAGGGATCCATAGAGCTGGTTGCACTCAGAGCAGACAAAGCGATGCTCAATGTACAGGACCGTCTCCTCTGACTCTTCAGTCATGGCGGCAGCAAGGCCCTGGGCTGGGAAAGGGGAGATTTGGGGGAAAATCACAACTAAGCCACTGCTTCTTCAGTCCTTCTCAGGAATGATTCTTTCCCTTTACCATCCCCCCACCTAGATCTATATCCCCTTCTAACTTCTTGCTTCCATTTTCCACTCCCACCTCTCTTCCTAACAATCTTTCCTCTCCCAACACACAAGGGCACCAAGCACAAAAATCTTCCCAGCAGTCCATTCCTGGTGAATCTACTGAATCAACTAGAATCAAACTCCACCCACCCAATCCCTGTAACCTGTCCAATCCCTCATTCTCCCATGCCTCAAAGCTGGCCCAAGGCCCCACCCATCACACAGGAACCCTTGTCCTCTCCACTCAGACCTCCTTCCACTGACTCCTCTCCCTACCAACTCACTATCCATTTCCACTCCCAGGGGAGTCCACAAAGGGTTTAACCACCCACTTTTTCCAGTCTTGCTCTTCCTCTGCTCCCTCCCCGAGACTCTGAACCTCTTTTTACACCTAGATCACTCAAACTTCCCCATGCCCCACACCTGTAAGCACCCTCACATTGCGCAACTCCTCTCCTTTACACACAACCCTTGCTATCCACTCTCTCTCCCTCTGGTGCCCAGGATCTTCACACCAAACTATCCCTTTCTCCAATCAACTTTTCTCACATTGGCCTAATCCATCTCCATACCTAGGTTTTCCTACTTAACCACTTCCCCATGATACCCAGGTCCTCCCTCCTCTTTAAATAAAGGCCCTCTCCCCCAACCTTGACCCCTTATCCAAAATATCCAGACCCATCTTCACAAATACCTAACCCATTTTTCATAACTAGACCCTTCCCACCACCCTAACATATCTCCAGGGTACCCAGACACTCTTCACATCAATCACCTTTTCTTTGCACTGAGACCTCATCTGCAATTCTAATTTCCCTCTGGGATACCCAAATCCCCTCTTAACATTGATTTAGACCCCTTGTCTTCATTTACAACCACCCTAACCCATTCAGGGGTTCCCAGACCCCCTTTCACATTATTAACCTTACCTATTCTTTGCAAAAAGACCCCCTCCCACAATAACTCATTCCAGGGATGCTCAGGCCCCCTCTTCATATCAATTGAATTCCCCTTATTTGCAGAAAGATCCCGCACACACACTAACCCAATTCAGGGATATCTAATAGCTTGACCTCCTTTCACACATAGACCCTTCCACGCCCAGGTCCCCTTTAGGGATACACAGAACCTTTCTTCTTATGCAGAACTCCCCTTGACCTCCACTTTAACAATGACAGAGAAGAGCCAGATCCCCCTTCCTCACATCCAGATTCCCTCACCAGCCAGTATTAAATACTCTGGGGATACCCAGACCCCCAACTTCTTATCAACTTAACGTAACCGGTCATTCTCATTCCAGTGATACCCAGACACCCTCCACGACCCCAGAACAGATCTCTCTCAACACCCTAAACTCCTCCAATTTCCACTCTTCACCTGACCTAATTCCCTATACTTTCCAAAGGACTACCTCCTCTTTCTAGGGCACCC